GGGGTCTTGCTCTTGATCAGGCTGGTCTCAAACTCCTGGCCTCAAGCAATCCTTCCTCCTCAGCTTCCTAGAGTGTTAGGATTATAGGCGAGAGCCACTGCACCTGGCCTATTAAACATTTATTTTTCTGCTATTTTCTACACATGATAACAAAAGTTAGAAATTAAGTGAGAGATTGGCTAGTGTATTTTTCAACGTTTTTTTCTTTTTTTTAAGTTGTTTTTTTTTAAGGTACAGACTTCCTCTTTCCACCCAGGAGATCTCACGCAGAAGCCCATTACATAAAACAGATGAAAAATTGCCGTAGCTTAAGTGAGAACAGAAGATATTTGGGGTTTAGTTTGGAGTTGGCAGACTTTTTCTGTAAATGGTCAGATAGTGAATATTTTCAGAGTTGCAGACCATACTGTCTCACCTCTGCCTTTTTAGCATGAAAGCGTTCATAGACTACATAAATAACTGGGCGTGGCTGTTTTTCAACAAAACCTTATAGCAATAGGCAGGTGGACATCACCAAGGCCAGATGATCTTTTTATATTTTGTAGAGACACGTTCTGCTATGCTGCCCAGGCTGCTCTTGAACTCCTGGCCTCAAGCAATCCTCCCTCCTCAGCCTCCCAAATTGCTAGGATTACAGGCATGAGCCACCACGCCTGGCCCACACATACACCTACAATGAAGTAGCTGCCGAAGTGCTCACAATCTACACTGCACAAGCAAGATAATTTTGATGAGCCGAAAAACTCTCTCTGAGATGTTCACATTATTCTTTCCAAATTACACCAGCAAGTTTTCTATCAACTTCCTTGAAGGCTTTTAAATAATGTCTTTTTACCTTTGAAATAGAACATGAAACGGCGCAGGCGTCGAGACATTTTACGAGTACAGCTGGTACGAATATTTGAACTGCTGGCAGATGCCGGCGTCATCAGTCACAGGTCAGTATTGGATTTAGGTTTTTAAAACTCTGGAATGATTAGGGAACATAATCTCTTTCTCTCCTGAAATACATAAAAAAAAGTGTTGAAAAGCACCTTCGCAACAAAAAACTTGTGTGCATCACTGTAAAAATTATTTACCAACCAAAGATGCATCCAGTACATTAACCAATAGCCGACAACGTAATGAAAAATCTACCACTAGAACTCGATTGCTTCAGGCAAAAGTTGGTTTAATGTTCCTATGATTCTGTTATTTGTTGGGACCTGGTTATCCAGGCAAGTGGACTGCAGTAGCCTTTTCTTGGCAGCTTTACCTATTTCTTACCTCATTTTAAAATAGATCTGTTTCTTCTGGGCTTGAAAAAATAATATGTTCAAAGGCTGACCATTGTAAAGTTTGCAAGTTTATTCCAGTGAACTGTTATCTGTCTTGCTGGAAAAAAATTATGAGGCTTATAGACATAATTTGTAACTGTGGTTTCCAGCACTCACAAAACCATAAAACCTGGGGTCATTGCTAGTGTAGTAAAGGCATCTTGACACTAAGACCAGCTCCTTGAGGAAAATTCCATCAGCCGTGTGTTGAGAAATAACTATTTCCTTAGGAGGATAATATTGTTGCCTGACCACTGAAGGAGAAAAATAATAGATTTGACCATATCCAAAAAAGATCTCTAAAAAGAGATCTTAAGGAAAAAAGCATTAATAATCAAACAAGTATAGTAACTGTGCAGACTGCGTAGTATTGGTACGTTAGCATTTGTCTTGAGTATTTCTCGGTGTACCTAATACCTTTCATGTTTAATGTTGAATGCTTTCGACAAGTACCTTCAGAATCGTGCTTTAATCAAAGAGAATTTAAACCATGGATTTTTCTTTCCTAGTAAGTGAAAAGCAAATGAAAAAGAAAAAAGAAACCTCATTCTCTTTTCTGTCCTCCACAAAAATAAAACATTAGAAGTTAAGAAAAGTAAAAATTGGGGCTTAGGGGCTTGATACAAAAAATTAACAACCTAATACATACATGAATCTTTTCTTTTTTGTTTACTTTTAATGTCATGTTAGTGAGTGAAGAATCTTTGGTACTATTTTGGGGAATGCAAAATGTTTGTGTGTTTAAAATTAACTATAAAATATATACTCACTATTGAGTAGTAATGATTTTTAACATAGTTGTATATTTTGTTTTAGGGTATTTTTCTTTAAATTAATAGAAGGTTATCACTAATATGGATATTTTTCTTTCCTTGGTTAAGGAAAAAATGGGTGCTGAATGCCAAGAAGGCAGGGGTCTTTGTTTTGTTCACCCAGTGG